GTATGTGACTCTGTGTGTGTGTGTGGGGTGTGAGTGAGTGAATGAGTGTGTGTGAGTGTGTGTATGTATGTGACTCTGTGTGTGTGGGGTGTGAGCGAGTGAATGAGTGTGTGTGAGTGTGTGTATGTATGTATGTGACTCTGTGTGTGTGTGTGTGGGGTGTAAGTGAGTGTGTGTGAGTGTGTGTATGTATGTATGTGACTCTGTGTGTGGGGTGTGAGCGAGTGAATGAGTGTGTGTGAGTGTGTGTATGTATGTATGTAACTGTGTGTGTGTGTGTGGGGTGTGAGTGAGTGAATGAGTGTGTGTGAGTGTGTGTATGTATGTGACTCTGTGTGTGTGGGGTGTGAGTGAGTGAATGAGTGTGTGTGAGTGTGTGTATGTATGTATGTATGTGACTCTGTGTGTGTGTGTGGGGTGTGAGTGAGTGAATGAGTGTGTGTGTGTGTATGTATGTGACTTGACACCTCCCCTGTGATTCTCTTCCCAGGCGCCTGTGACTTGGAGAGGCGTCGGGCGAGGTAGGCTGGCCCACACTCGATCCGCTCAGCCCTAAATCACAACGCACGTTTCTCTGTTCGCCCAGACGTGCTGATTGAAGCAGCAGCCACTCGCTCGCTCACCCAGCCACTGACTCAGTCACCCAGCCACTCGCTCGCTCACCCAGTCGCTCACCCAGCCACTCACTCACCAAACCACTCACTCACTCACCCAGCCACTCGCTCGCTCACCTAGTCGCTCACCCAGCCACTCACCCAGCCACTCGCTCGCTCACCCAGCCACTCACCCAGCCACTCGCTCACTCACCCAGCCACTCACCCAGCCACTCGCTCGCTCACCCACTCACCCACTCACCCAGCCACTCACCCAGCCACTTGCTCGCTCACCCAGCCACTCACCCAGCCACTCACTCACCCAGCCACTCACCCAGCCACTCGCTCGCTCACCCAGCCGCTCACCCAGCCACTCGCTCGCTCACCCAGCCACTCGCTCGCTCACCCAGCCACTCGCTCACTCACCCAGCCACTCGCTCGCTCATCCAGCCGCTCGCTCGCTCAGCCAGCCACTCACCCAGCCACTCGCTCGCTCACCCAGCCACTCACCCAGCCACTCGCTCGCTCACCCAGCCGCTCACCCAGCCACTCGCTCGCTCACCCAGCCGCTCGCTCACTCACCCAGCCGCTCGCTCGCTCACCCAGCCGCTCGCTCGCTCACCCAGCCGCTCGCTCGCTCACCCAGCCACTCGCTCGCTCACCCAGCCACTCACCCAGCCACTCACTCGCTCACCCAGCCGCTCGCTCGCTCACCCAGCCTCTCGTTCGCTCAGTCACTTATTATCCCACTTGCGCAGTTACTCACCCAGTCACTCACCCAATTACTAAGCCACTCACTCACCCACTCACGGTGGTGGTGGTGTTGGTGATGATGTTGTTGGTGGTGGTGGTGTTGTTGTTGTTGGTGGTGGTAATGATGTTAGTGGTGGTGATGTTGTTGTTGGTGGTGGCGATGTCTTTCAGTGATCGGCCACACAATGAGACGTTCACGGAGCGAGGGGAGTGGAGGTCGTCACCACAGGAGCCCGGAGACTTGGTGTAGACGACGACTCGCTGATGTTGATGAGTCGCTGGCGAGCATCGCGGAGCCTAGAGGTGAGCTTGGGGGGGTGGCGGTGGTCGTGGAGACGTTCATCATGATGGTGGTGGTGGTGATAGTAGTGGTGCCGGACGGGCAACTCTGTCGTGGGCAGTGCTGTGGGGGGAAGGGTCAATTCCTATTGGCCTCTCCCCTCATGGCGTCTGTGACCACCACAGGGGCTGAACGGGGGCTCTGGACGGGTGCGAGGGGCTGGTAACCCCTCCACCTTCAATTAATTACCACGAAACCGCGAATTAAGTATATAACTAATAAGCTTGTGCCGGAGGCCCCGGGGGGACAGGCGTCTATGACGTCTCCTGGCCAAACCCCAATTGGCGGAGCCAGGAGATTGAATACCTACCCTCGGGGCTACTCCAGAAACAACGATAAGCCACTACAGATGGCCACGTGGAATGTTCGAACGCTCACTGCAGAGGAGAGGCTGCCACTCCTCTGTCGGGAGCTGGACCGGTACCGCCTGGATCTCTGTGGCATTCAGGAGGTCCGGTGGACCGGTTCTGGCTCCTGCCACTATGAGGGGTGGACAGTCCTCTACTCGGGGCAGCAGACTGTCAAACAACAGGGTGTGGCTCTTCTTTTGAACAAAAGAATGAAGGGGGCGTGGGAGCGTGGCGGTGAAGTGTGGGAAGCTGTAAGTCCAAGACTACTTTGGGCTCGCCTTCCCATCAACCGAAGGCGAGGAGTGGTGGTCGTGGTTACTTATGCCCCCACCAAAGACGAATATCCGTGGAGGAATGCAGGCAAAGCCGATGAGTCAGATGCCTTCTATGACCTCCTGTCACAGGTGCTGGCTAAAGTGGCCCATCGGGATAGAGTCATCATGTTGGGTGACTTCAATGCCCGAGTTGGTCATGATGCTGGAACCTGATCCGGAGTGATTGGAAGGCATGGGCAAGATTAGCTCAATAACAACGGTAGGAGGCTGCTAGATTTTTGTGCAGCCCATGGGCTTGTAATTACCAACACGGTGTTACGGCATCGGCGCATCCACACAACATTATGGATGCGTGCCGAGTCCAAGCAAGAACATCTGCTGGACTACATGGTGACGGAACAGCGGATGCGGGCCCATGTCCTTGACACCAGGACCTACCATGGGGCTGATCTGCCCTCTGACCATCGACTTGTCATATGTAAGATGCACCTGCCATTCTTCCACTCCGGTGGTGGATGTACACCCAGAACCCCATTCAAATCTAAGGTGGCCTGGTCTCAGCTAGCTGATGAAAGTTGCAAGCTAGAATTTCATCATCACTTGCGGCTGGGGTTGGCTTCGTCCGCCACTCCTCCAGATGTCGAGGGCAAATGGGCGAGGTTTAGGACTGTGACTCAGGCAGCTGGAATGGCTGCTTTGGGTACGTGGTCCAGACCTCCCCAGAGACCCTGGCTGACAGCGGAGGTGTTCAGGATGGTTGAGAAAAAGCGACAGGCCCACTATAATCGTCTACAACATCCCACGTCAGAGAATGAGGAGGCTTATCGCAGCCTTTGCTCGGAGGTTCGGAGAGCCGTGAGGCACTGCAAGGATGGGTGGTGGTCGCAGGTTGCTGAGGTGATGGAGTCTTCCTCAATGGCCCGCGATCACAAATTCCAATTTAACTCCATCAAAAACGTAACCTGCAGCGCCACACCTATTACCATCATTAGGGGAAATAACAGTGATCCAATCTCCGACCCCCAGGAACAGATTCGCAGATTTGCTGAGCATTTCTGTGAGGTCCTGGGGGAGGGAAAATCCTTCAGCCAGGAAAACATCGTGGCACAAAGTGAGGATGACCCTGCTGAGGCTGCGGTGCCTCAAATATTGGAAAAAGTCACCCCCTGTGAGTGGCTGGATGAGGTGCCATCTGTTGAGGAATTGCTAAAGGGGATCCAGAGTCTGAGACCAGGAAAGGCACCGGGCAGAGATGATCTCCCAAGCAAAATGCTGAGGGAGGGTGACGTTTGTGCACAGACTGCCCTATATGACATCATAACAACAGTCTGGACCACTGGATGGGTGCCGCAGGATTGGAAGGATGCCCTGGTGGTCCCCCTCTTTAAGAAGAGTGACCGCACAGACTGTAACAACTACAGGGGCATCTCACTCCTCAGTGTGCCAGGAAAGGTCCTGGCAAGGAATATTCAACATCGCCTTGCCAGGCACGTTGAGGAGAGGCTTGCGGAGCCCCAATGTGGTTTCAGGAAAGGGTGGTCCTGCACAAATGCCATATTTTCTGTCTGTCTGCTACAGCAGAAGTGTAGGGAATTCCAACAAGACCTACATCTCTGCTTTTTTGACCTGGTCAAGGCCTATGATACCATCAGTAGGTCTGGGCTCTGGGTTGTTCTTCGTGCTTTTGGAGTCCCTGACTCTCTGCTCACGATCATTAAGGACCTTCATGATGGTGAGCGGGCCTGGGTAAAACTATGTGGCCGGGAGTCAGAGCCATTCCCTGTACACCTTGGGGTGCGACAGGGATGTCCTCTGGCTCCAACATTATTCAACATCTTTTTCGACCACGTAGTTCGTGAAGCCTTTGATGGCTGTACCAGTGGAATTTCCATCTGGTACAGATACAGTGAGAGGCTGATCGATGCCCGGGTGCGGTCAAGGGATGGCTTCCTATTGGTCAACCACGTTATGTATGCCGATGATCTGGTCATTGCCGCTCACTCAGAGGAGGAGTTGGAGGCGCTGCTGCTGAACCTGGAGCTTGCCACGAAGAGGCGGGGCCTTACCATCAGCCCCACTAAAACGAAGCACCTGCCTGGGTATTTTGTACCATCGGGTACTCCACCCCCACAACTCCCAATCGGTAATGGTGCAGTTGTGGAGAGTGGAGAGTTTCCCATACCTGGGCAATGTGCTCATGACCGGCTCCGGTTTGACAGCAGAGGTCTCACTCAGAATCAGTCGAGCGGCATTATCTTTTCATCGGTTGCGTAACGCTGTGTGGAAGCTATCTGGTACAGCCTGGTCTGTCGCTCCACATGAAGCTTCGGGTCTTGTCGGCCACGGTCATTCCCTCCCTTCTCTACACTTGTGAAACGTGGATCCCCCTAATGGAGCATCTTCGCCGATTGGAAACATTTAGGCTGGCCTGCCTACGATCCATCCTGGGTTTAACCAGGCTGGATTGTGTGAGGAGCTCACAAATCTTTGAAAGATCTGGGCAAAGTCCCATCGGTGAGCTCCTCCGGCAGGCAAGGCTGCGTTGGCTGGGTCATGTAGCCTGCATGCCCAGCCACCGCATGCCGTAACAGCTTCTGTTCGGCCGGATCGAGGGGGCTAAACGGGCGCGACACAGGCTAGAGAAGAGATGGAGTGATGTGGTACAGGAGGATTTGGAGCTGAGTGGACTTGCCGATGACTGGTACCAGCGGTGTCAAGATCAGCCTCTGTGGAGGAGGAGGCTCGTGAAGGACGCTACTGGGCAGTTGGAGGCAGTCGCCCTCCAACAACAACGGAGGGCGGAGGAGCGATGCTCACACCAATGAGCGGAGCGCCGGATGGCTAAAGCACACCAAGTTGGCACAGTGGGGGGCACAGTTGGTGTGCGTCTGCCAGTCATCTCAGTCATCTCAGTCAGTCAACCCGTGGCACCTGGGTCTGCCCTGTGACCTCCTGCCAGCGGGCGTTCGACACTTCACGTGGCCTCAAGGTGCACATGGCCTGGCTCAAGCGCCGTGGTGACGTCACCGCCACTTAGTGGCGAATGGCGTTTGTTGGTGGTGATAATGGTGGTGGTGGTGATGATAGTGGTGGTCGTGATAGTGCTGGTGATGATAGTGGTGGCGATGATAGTGGTGGTGATGATGATAGCTGTGGTGGTGGTGGTGTTGATGGTGATTGTGGTGATGATGATGATGGTGTTGGTAGTGATGATGGTAGTTGTGGTGGTGGTGACCGTAATAGCTGTGGTGATGATGATGGTGATGGCGGTGATGGTACTAATGATGATGGTGGTGATAGTGATGGTGCTGATGGTGGTGGGGACGGTACTAATGATGATGCTGCTGATAACGAGATACCCTCTACGCTTGTCATTTCAGATCTCACAGCGAGACATCGCAGCTGAAGAAATGAGACTGACCTGGGTTGTAACTTAGACTGAGTTCACACTCGGACTGTGTCCTACTTGACCCTCCCGCAGTTGAAGTCTCCCAGCCTTAGGGGTCGCAGGTTCGACTCCCATACGGAACACTCAACCCATACAGAACACTCGTCCCATACAGAACCTTCGTCCCATACAGAACCCTCGTCCCATAGAGAACACTCAACCCATACAGAACCTTCGTCCCATACAGAACCCTCGTCCCATAGAGAATACTCAACCCATACAGAAACCTCGTGCCATACAGAACACTCAACCCATACAGAACCTTCGTCCCATACAGAACCTTCGTCCCATACAGAACCCTCGTCCAATACAGAACCCTCGTCCCATACAGAACACTCATCCCATAACCATACAGAACCCTAATTTAAAAACTTGAACCGTTAATAAATCGTAATAATAATGAAATAGTAATGTTGTAACAGATAACTTGAATAATATTTAAAGCATTACAATTCATTGTATATTTATTTATCCTGTGATGTGTAAAGGCGGTGGTGGTGGAGGTGGTGGTGGTGGTGTAGGTGGTGGTGGTAGTGTAGGTGGTGGTGGTAGTGTAGGTGGTGGTGGTAGTTGTGGTGTAGGTGGTGGTGGTAGTTGTGGTGGTGGTAGTTGTGGTGTAGGTGGTGGTGGTAGTCGTGGTGTAGGTGGTGGTGGTAGTGTAGGTGGTAGTCGTAGTGTAGGTGGTGGTGGTAGTAGTTGTGGTGTAGGTGGTGGTAGTGGTAGTTGTGGTGGTGGTGCTGGTGGTGTAGGTGGTGGTAGTTGTGGTGTAGGTGATGGTGGTGGTAGTTGTGTTGTAGGTGGTAGTAGTGGTGGTAGTAGGTGCTGGTGGTAGTTGTGGTGGTGGTGGTAGTTGTGGTGGTGGTAGTTGTGGTGGTGGTGATATCACCAACTCCGCTGTATTGCTGAATCGTCACTCTCGTGTCACAGGAGAGGCGTCACGTTATGATCGTGAGTTAAGTTATTTGAGTCGTATTTAATCCTAAATTATTATGTTGTAAATCTCTAATGTGCCACGATGCTCACTGGACACCACGTGATTGTGTGCGTGTGTGCGTCGTGTTTGTATCATTGAAGTCTTCTATAAAACCTTGGAATTCCATGACACTCCGGAAGTCTGCTCGTTGTCTCCTGGCGTGGTAGGATGGGGATGATTGAGTGTTGTATCGATTTGTGTGTTGTATCGATTTGTGACTGGGTGATTTGTTTACCTTGATTGCACTTTCTGTGAGTCAAGAGCTTTGAAGCTCTTCGGAATCCTCCCGCAGTGTTAATAAATATTCTGATTCTGACTGATTAGGGATGACGTCAGCAGTTGTTTATTCGGACGCAAGGTGAACCCAGACCCAGGGCTCGAACCCAGGTCCTCAGTGTCTCTGACACGGCCATTATGAACCCACAGAGAGAGAGAGACACCCAGACCCAGGGCTCGAACCCAGACTCTCAGCGTCTCTGACACGGCCATTGTGAATCCACAGATAGAGAGACACCCAGACCCAGGGCTCGAACCCAGGCTCTCAGTGTCTCTGACACGGCCATTATGAACCCACAGAGAGAGAGAGAGACCCAGACCCAGGGCTCGAACCCAGACTCTCAGTGTCTCTGACACGGCCATTGTGAACCCGTAGAGAGACACCCAGACCCAGGGCTCGAACCCAGACTCTCAGTGTCTCTGACACGGCCATTGTGAATCCACAGATAGAGAGACACCCAGACCCAGGGCTCGAACCCAGGCTCTCAGTGTCTCTGACACAGCCATTGTGAACCCACAGAGAGAGAGAGACATCTAGACCCAGGGCTCGAACCGAGGCTCTCACAATGGCCGTGTCAGAGACACTGAGAGTCTGGGTTCGAGCCCTCGGTCTGGGTGTCTCTCTCTCTCTCTGTAGGTTCATAATGGCCGTGTCAGAGCCACTGAGAGCCTGGGTTCGAGCCCTGGGTCGGGGTGTCTCTCTCTATGGGTTCATAATGGCCGTGTCAGAGACACTGAGAGTCTGGGTTCGAGCCCTGGGTCTGGGTGCCTCTCTCTCTCTCTCTGTGGGTTCATAATGGCCGTGTTAGAGACACTGAGATCCTGGGTTCGAGCCCTGGGTCTGGGTGTCTCTCTCTCTCTCTGTGGGTTCATAATGGCCGTGTCAGAGACACTGAGAGTCTGGGTTCGAGCCCTGGGTCTGGGTGCCTCTCTCTCTCTGTGGGTTCATAATGGCCGTGTTAGAGACACTGAGACCCTGGGTTCAAGCCCTGGGTCTGGGTGTCCCTCTCTCTCTCTGTGGGTCCGTACACGGCCGTGTCAAATCAACGCTGAGCCGCCTTTGAAGCCCGCGGCCTGAGGCTCACAGAGCCGACACCTGAAGGCTCCCGTGTCAAGGCCAGGGGCTCTGTAGACGCGCGTGGGACCTGTTGGGGTAGGTGGGGGACGCCGCCTCGGGGCTTCCGCGGATTTCTTTGCTGGGCTGCAGTCCACAAACAGGAAAGGGATTGCGGTGTTTCCTTCCCCGTGTCTCCCTCCGTGTCTGTCGGTGTCTCTCTCTCTCCCTGTCAGTGTCTCCGTGTCCCCGTCTCGCCTGCTGTCCAGTCGTTCGTGTCTCTCTCTCTCTCTGTCAGTGTCTCCGTGTCTCTCTCTCTCCCTACCAGTGTCTCTGTGTCTCTCTCTCTCCCTGTCAGTGTCTCCGTGTCTCTCTCTCTCCCTACCAGTGTATCCGTGTCTCTCTCTCTCCCTACCAGTGTATCTGTGTCTCTCTCTCTCCCTACCAGTGTCTCCGTGTCTCTCTCTCTCCCTACCAGTGTCTCCGTGTCTCTCTCTCTCTCCCTACCAGTGTCTCTGTCTCTCTCTCTCCCTACCAGTGTCTCTGTGTCTCTCTCTCTCCCTGTCAGTGTCTCCGTGTCTCTCTCTCCCTACCAGTGTCTCTGTGTCTATCTCTCTCTGTCAGTGTCTCCGTGTCTCTCTCTCTCCCTACCAGTGTCTCTGTGTGTCTCTCTCTCTCTGTCAGTGTCTCTGTGTGTCTCTCTCTCCCTACCAGTGTCTCCGTGTCTCTCTCTCTCCCTACCAGTGTCTCCGTGTCTCTCTCTCTCCCTACCAGTGTCTCTGTGTGTCTCTCTCTCCCTGTCAGTGTCTCTGTGTCTCTCTCTCCCTACCAGTGTCTCCGTGTCTCTCTCTCTCCCTACCAGTGTCTCTGTATCTCTCTCTCCCTACCAGTGTCTCCGTGTCTCTCTCTCTCCCTGTCAGTGTTATCGTGTCTCTCTCTCTCCCTGCCTGTGACTCCGTGTCTCTCGCTCTCTCCCTACCAGTGTCTCCGTGTCTCTCTCTCCCTACCAGTGTCTCTGTGTCTCTCTCTCCCTACCAGTGTCTCCGTGTCTCTCTCTCTCTCCTTGTCAGTGTCTCTGTGTGTCTCTCTCTCCCTACCAGTGTCTCTGTGTCTCTCTCTCTCCCTGTCAGTGTCTCTGTCTGTGCGTCTGTGTCGCCATCGCCTCGTGGTGTCCACTCTCAGCATGGCCATCGTCCGGCTCATGCTCCTGCTCACATTCACGTCGTTCGGTGAGCCATCATCAGCATCATCATCAGCATCAGCAGCAGCATCAGCAGCAGTAGCATCAGCGGCACCAATGTAATCAGCAGCATCAGCAACAGCATCAATGTCATATTTTCAACTTAATCATCAGCCGAATGATTATGTAAACTTAATTATCATCAGACTAATCATCATCGTGGCATTGGCGTTCATCCAGCAGTGGATAGACCACGTTGACGATGATTCCACTGGGAGACTGAGGGGGAGGAGCCACGCGGATTAGAGAACACGCGCAGGATGGAGGAGCCATCGTCATCGTCGTCGTCATCTTCCTCCTCGTCGTCGCACTGATCCTCACCCAGCAGTGGATAGAGCACGATGGTGAAGCAGGCAGGAGGAGCGGGCAGCAGGGAGCTGCTGCACCCTGCTGCACCCAGCAGCAGGGAGCTGCTGCTGCACCCAGCAGCATGGGCAGCAGGAGGGGGGCGGAGTCACAAGGGGCTGGGGGAGGGGTTCAGAGCGGTGGGGGGGGGGCTAGGTGGGAGTCACGTGACTCACGGGAGGCTCGGGCTGGTCTCGTGAGATAGAGAGATGTGTAGAGACGAGAGGGGAGGGGTTCAGAGTGGTCACGTGGGAGTCACGTGACTCACGGGAGGCTCGGGCTGGTCTAGTGAGAGAGATGTGTAGAGACGAGAGGGGAGGGGTTCAGAGTGGTCACGTGGGAGTCACGTGACTCACGGGAGGCTCGAGCTGGTCTAGTGAGAGAGATGTGTAGAGACGAGAGGGGAGGGGTTCAGAGTGGTCACGTGGGAGTCACGTGACTCACGGGAGGCTCGGGCTGGTCTAGTGAGAGAGAGAGCGATGTGTAGAGACGAGAGGGGTTCAGAGTGGTCACGTGGGAGTCACGTGACTGACGGGAGGCTCGAGCTGGTCTAGTGAGAGAGCGATGTGTAGAGACGAGAGGGGTTCAGAGTGGTCACGTGGGAGTCACGTGACTCACGGGAGGCTCGGGCTGGTCTAGTGAGAGAGAGAGAGCGATGTGTAGAAACGAGAGGGGTTCAGAGTGGTCACGTGGGAGTCACGTGACTCACGGGAGGCTCGGGCTGGTCTAGTGAGAGAGAGAGAGCGATGTGTAGAAACGAGAGGGGTTCAGAGTGGTCACGTGGGAGTCACGTGACTGACGGGAGGCTCGAGCCGGTTTTGGAACGCTTTACCGAACCCCGTGCCGTGCGAACGCTTCTTGTCGCTTCCTCCTTTCCCCTCTCGTCGCTGCCGCCGCCGCTCTCGCCGTCGTCTGCGCCGGACGCCTCCCAGACCACGTGAGCCCGTGGACTTTTCACTTCTCCAACTTGACCCTGCAATGGTCGGACGCCCTCAAGTTCTGCCGCCGGAGGCATCGCGACCTGGCGTTCGTCGCCGACTCGACGCTCAACCGCCTCCTCGCCTCGTCCCTGCCCACGGGCCGAGGCTACTTCTGGATCGGCCTGAGGAGGAGCCCTGACGGGAAGGAGGGCGAGGAGGTGGATAGGGATGGAGGTGCGGGAGGAGGTGTCGGATTAGGTGGTGGTGGAGGACTTGGAGGTGGTGGTGTAGGAGGAGGTGGAGGTGGTGGTGGACGTGGAGGTGGTGGTGTAGGAGGTGGTGGTGGTGGTGGTGTAGGAGGAGGTGGTGGTGATGGACGTGGAGGAGATGGAGGAGGTGGTGGTGGAGGACGTGGAGGAGGTGGAGGAGATGGAGGAGGTGGAGGAGGTGGAGGACGTGGAGGTGGTGGTGGAGGTGTAGGAGGAGGTGGTGTAGGAGGAGGTGGAGGAGCTGGTGGTGGGCGTGGAGGAGATGGAGGAGGTGGAGGAGGTGGAGGAGGTGGAGGGTCGTGGAAGTGGCTCAATGGGACGTCAGAGGCCACGTACCTCAACTGGGCCACGGGAGAACCGAATAATCGCAAGAGCAATGAAGACTGCGTGGAGATGTACGTGAAGGCCAGGAGGAGCGGTGGGGGAGGTGAGACAGGTGGGAGAGCAGGTGATGATGAGCATGATGATGAGCATGATGATGGAGGTGGTGGTTATGCTGATCATCTACCAGATGGTGGCGATAGAGGTGATGATGATAAACCAGATGGTGGAGGTGATGGTGATGAACCAGATGGTGGAGATGATGGAGGTGATGATGATGATGTATGAGATGGTGGAGGTGATGGAGGTGATGATAATGATGTACCAGATGGTGGAGGTGATGGAGGTAATGATGATGAATCAGATGGTGGAGATGGAGGTGATGATGGTGATGATGATGTACCAGATGGTGGAGGTGATGGAGGTGATGATGATGATGTATGAGATGGTGGAGGTGATGGAGGTGATGATAATGATGTACCAGATGGTGGAGGTGATGGAGGTGATGATGATGAACCAGATGGTGGAGATGGAGGTTATGATGGTGATCTATGAGATGGTGGAGATGATGGCGGTGATGATGATAATGATGTACCAGATGGTGGAGATGATGGAGGTGATGATGATGTACCAAATGGTGGAGATGATGGTGATGATGATAATGATGATGAACCAGATGGTGGAGGTGATGGTGATGATAATGATGTACCAGATGGTGGAGGTGATGGTGGTGTAGAGGATCCGGCACACGGGCGTTGGAACGATGAATCTTGTCGCAAGAGGAAGAGGGCTCTTTGCTTTAGAGGTGAGTGCGTGGGTTCGACACCCGACCCTGACGGCGCCTGCTACTGTAGATTTGGAGTTTGCGTCTCTCATCATCATCACAGTGGCCAGGAGATGTTGACTACCTCGCCTGGTATGCAGGAGGTCGTGGGTTTTATCCCGACCCTGACGCCTTCTGTATATTTGGAGTTTGCGTGTCTCTCTCTCTCATCATCATCACGGTGGCTATGAGATGTTAAGTACCTCGCCTGGTATGCAGGAGGTCGTGGGTTCGACCCCGACCCTGACGCCTGCTGCTGCTGCTGTAGATTTCCACGCGATAAGCCGCTTGTGATGGCCATGTCGCTTCTGAAAAAGAGCTTCATAACAGCTCAATGGGGCCTTACGTGGTAACAATAAAACATCGTTTTTAGTCTTTAGTTCATTATGGAGGAGGCTCGTGAAAGACGCTACAGTAGGGGGGCACAGTAGGGGGGTACAGTAGGGGGCACAGTAGGGGGGTACAGTCGGGGGCAAAGTAGGGGGGCACAGTAGGGGGGTACAGTCGGGGGCAAAGTAGGGGGGCACAGTAGGGGGGTACAGTAGGGGGCACAGTAGGGGGGTACAGTAGGGGGGCACAGTAGGGGGGCACAGTAGGGGGGTGCAGTCGGGGGTACAGTCGGGGGCAAAGTAGGGGGGCACAGTAGGGGGGTACAGTCGGGGGCAAAGTAGGGGGGCACAGTAGGGGGGTACAGTAGGGGGCACAGTAGGGGGGTACAGTAGGAGGCACAGTAGGGGGGCACAGTAGGGGGGTGCAGTCGGGGGTACAGTAGGGGGTACAGTAGGGGTGCAGTAGGGGGTACAGTAGGGGCACAGTAGGGGGCACTGTAGGGGGTACAGTAGGGGCGCGGTAGGGGGTACAGTAGGGGGTGCAGTCGGGGTACAGTAGGGGTACAGTTGGGGGCACAGTAGGGGGGCACAGTAGGGGGTACAGTAGGGGGCGCAGTAGGGGGTACAGTAGGGGGCACAGTAGGGGGGTACAGTCGGGGGTACAGTAGGGGGCACTGTAGGGGAGTACAGTAGGGGGTACAGTAGGGGGGGTACAGTCGGTGTGCATCTCTCAGTCGACCCCATCGCACCACCTGGGGTCTGTCCCGTGACCTGTTGTCAGCAGCGAGCCTTCGACACTTCAGAGTGCACCTAGCCTGGCACAGGCGCCGTGGTGACTTCGCCGCCACGTGGTGGCGACCCGTGGCACACACAGGGAAGCGGCACGTGCACTACCAGCGGTGGCCACGCATCCCACAATCGTTAATGTTCGTCATTCTGGAGGAATCTGATGAGCTGCGAAGCTCATTGTCACAGATGTCCAGCAGGGGCCCACGGGGTCAGAACGTTACAGCGAACGACAAACACGATGGTTCTAGATTTGAAGCGTTCGTGACGGCAAGGATCCATACTCTTTGGTTCTATTCGGTAAAGTCACGTAGGTAAAAAAATAACAAAAATCACGACGTTTCGGCCACAACACAAGCGGCCTTCATCAGGTGAAGGGACCAGACTGGAGGACAGCGCTGGAGTGAAACACAGCCAAGCTCACACAGCTTAAAGTTCCGCGGTCTGAGCGTGGCTGTGTTTCACTCCAGCGCTGTCCTCCAGACAGTCCGGTCCCTTCACCTGATGAAGGCCGCTTGTGTTGTGGCCGAAACGTCGTGATTTTTGTTGTTTTATTTTTTTTACCTACGTGACTTTGCCGAATAGAACCAAAGAGTATTAACACGATGGTCTTCACACGATGGTCTTTTTGAACCGGTCCCCAGGGGGGGACTCACCTAGGTCGTCTCAGCCTCAAATGAGTCACCTGGTGCGGTGTGTCAACGTCGCTGCAGGGGAGACAAAGGCGGCCGGGCGGGCGTGGTGCTGGCCACCCACCCCCTCGTGTGCCGTTCCGGCCTTCATAGGCGCTCGCTACTCGCCACTGACAGCACTTGCCCCAAACAGAGTCAGAATCATTTTTTTTAATACTGCAGAAGGAATCCGATGAGCTGTAAAGCTCTTTTACTCACAGATATCCCAGTTAGGGGGCACGGGGTAAGAACGCTACAACAACAACAACACAGTTACACAAAGGCGATAGCAGTGTAAAGTACAAGAAAGGTAAAAACACATCACCCAAAAACATGCAAATACAACACTCAGCCATTTCGACTTAAAGCTTTCGTGACTGCAAGGATTCATCTTCTTTGGTTCTTTCGGTGAAGTCACCACCACGTAGAATGAGAATAAAATAATAAATTGATAAAATAAAATAACACAATAAAACAACACAAGCGGCCTTCATCAGGTTGATGAAGGCCGCTTGTGTTGTGGCTGAAACGTCGTGAGAAATTTATTGTGTTATTTTATTTTATCAATTTATTATTTTATTCTCATTCTATGTGACTTTACCGAAAGAACCAAAGAAGAACACTCAGCCATCCCCATGCCACACAGGCGAAGCCCACCGAGGCATTCACTGTTGTTGTTGTTCACGAGCGACCTGGCCATCGCAAACGACAGACCTCGGCAAAGTGGCCCCATCATCATCGTCGTCATCGTCACGTGGACATTTACAGCATCAGCCAAAGTCTAGAAACGCCGAATAATAGCAATAATCCCAACCAATCCCCGTGTCCCGTGCCATATAAACCTCCACGTGGTCCGCACGAACCCGTCAAGCCCTTATCGGCAGTGCCCTATACAGACCAAGTCAGACCTTATTGGTCACGCGGTGCCCCTAACAGATCTCAACGTTCATCCTACAAAGTCCCATCACAAGGGAGAAACACAACCAAATAGACACTTCGTTATTATTCAAACAGCTGCACCCCGTACGGACGTGAAAACTCAATTTCCCTGTACCAGAGCACGGGGTAAACCGTCTGAGTTGACGCGGTGTGTCCACAATGTCCATAATGTCCTCAATGTCCTCAATGTCCACAATGTCCTCAATGTCCACATTGTCCAAAACGTCCTCAATGTCCTTAATGTCCACAATGTCCACAATTTCCACAATGTCCTCAATTTCCACAATGTCCACAATGTCCTCAATGTCCTCAATGTCCACAATGTCCACAATGTCCTCAATGTCCTCAATGTCCACAGTGTCCTCAATGTCCTCAATGTCCTCAATGCCCTCAATGTCCACAATGTCCACAATGTCCACAATATCCTCAATGTTCACAATGCCTTCAATGTCCTCAATGTCCTCAATGTCCATAATGTCCACAATGTCCACAGTGTCCTCAATGTCCACAATGTCCTCAATGTCCTCAATGTCCACAGTGTCCACAATGTCCTCAATGTCCACAATATCCATAATGTCCACAATGTCCACAATGTCCTCAATGTCCACAATGTCCTCAATGTCCTCAATGTCCACAATGGCCTCAATGTCCACAATGTCCTCAATGTCCTCAATGTCAACAATGTTCACAATGTCCAAAACGTCCTCAATGTCCTTAATGTCCTCAATGTTCACAATGTCCTCAATATCCTCAGTTTCCACAATGTCCTCAATGTCTTCAATGTCCACAATGCCCACAGTGTCCACAATGTCCTCAATGTCCTCAATGTCCACAATGTCTACAATGTCCTCAATGTCCTCAATATCCACAATATCCTTAATGTCCACAATGCCCACAATGTCCTCAATGTCCACAATGTCCTCAATGTCCACAATATCCTCAATGTCCACAGTGTCCTCAATGTCCACAATGTCAACAATGTTCACAATGTCCAAAACGTCCACAATGTCCTTAATATCCTCAATGTTCACAATGCCTTCAATGTCCTCAATGTCCACAGTGTCCTCAATGTCCACAATGTCCACAGTGTCCTCAATATCCACAATGTCAACAATGTCCTCAATGTCCACAATTTCCACAATGTCCACAATGTCCACAATGTCCTCAATGTCTACAATGTCCTCAATGTCCACAATGTCTACAATGTCCACAATTTCCACAATGTCCTCAATGTCCTCAATGTCCACAACGTCCTCAATGTTCACAATGTCCTCAATTTTCACAATGTCCTCAATGTCCACAATGTCCTCAATGTCCACAATGTCCACAATATCCTCAATTTTCACAATGTCCTCAATGTCCACAATGTCCTCAATGTCCACAATGTCCTCAATGTCCTCAATGTCCACAATATCCTCAATGTCCACAATGTCCACAATGTCCTCAATGTCCACAATGTCCTCAATGTCCTCAATGTCCACAATATCCTCAATTTTCACAATGTCCTCAATGTCCACAATGTCCTCAATGTCCTCAATGTCCACAATGGCCTCAATGTCCACAATGTCCTCAATGTCCACAATGTCCTCAATGTCCACAATGTCCAAAACGTCCTCAATGTCCTTAATGTCCTCAATGTTCACAATGCCCTCAATGTCCTCAATGTCCTCAATGTCCACAATGTCCTCAATATCCTCAGTTTGTACAATGTCCTCAATGTCCACAATGTTCACAATGTCCTCAATGTCCTCAATGTCCACAATGTCCACAATGTCCTCAATGTCCACAATGTCCACAATGTCCTCAATGTCCACAATGTCCACAATGTCCTCAATGTCCACAATGGTCCGCAGACTCCTGCGAGCCCGGGGCGTGCTCCGGGCAGGGCAACTGCGTGGAGGTTTTCCAGGGCCGCCGCTGTGCATGCTGGGAGGGCTACGATGGAGAGGCCTGTGAGAAAATGGCCACACCTCGGACTAGTGCTGCCCCCTCATGTAAGTGCCACGTGGTTAATTCTTTTTTAAAATAATAATAACGAAGGATAATAATATAGTAATACTAATAATTATCCTGTATTCGTTTTGCACGTGGGTAATATGGGGGAGTCTCTATGGGTGTCTATGAGTCTCTCTGGGTCTCCATGGGTGAGTCTCTATAGGTGTCTATGTGTCTCTCTCAGTCTCTATGGGGGAGTTCCTATGGGTTTCTCAGTCGATATGGGTATCTATGAGTATCGATGATTCTCTATGAATATCTGGGTCTCAATGAGTCGCTATTAGGTCTCTATAAGTCTTTATTGGCCTCAATGGATCTCTATGAATCTCTATGGGGGAGTCTCGATGGGTTTCTATGGGTATCTCTGTCACTCAGTAGCTGGGCCAGGTCCTATAGACACAACGCTACTCTGTCACTCATTGGCTGGGCCAGGTCCTATAGACACAACGCTTCTCTGTCACTCATTGGCTGGGCCAGGTCCTATAGACACAACGCTACTCTGTCACTCATTGGCTGGGCCAGGTCCTATAGACACAACGCTACTCTGTCACTCATTGGCTGGGCCAGGTCCTATAGACACAACGCTACTCTGTCACTCATTGGCTGAGGCAGGTCCTATAGACACAACGCTACTCTGTCACTCATTGGCTGGGCCAGGTCCTATAGACACAACGCTACTCTGTCACTCATTGGCTGGGCCAGGTTCTATAGACACAACGCTACTCTGTCACTCAGTAGCTGGGCCAGGTCCTATAGACACAACACTACTCTGTCACCCATTGGCTGGGCCAGGTCCTATA